AATCATTGATTTCTTTTACATATTATAGTGATAAGATTATCAGGAGAAGTATAATTATTAGAATCACTGATTTTCTTTCACATATTATAATGATAAGATTATCAGGAGAAGTATAATTATTAGAATCATTGATTTTCTTTACATATTATAGTGATAAGATTATCAGGAGAAGTATAATTATTAGAATCATTGATTTTCTTTTACATATTATAATCATTAATAGTTGATTTTTCGGTTATTAAACAAATATTATCAATAATTTTCAATTATTTGTAACAAAAATAAAGACATTACAAACTTTAGATATAAACTATCATTTGAAAAAATTAATATCTCGTGAAATGATTCCCACTAATGACTGCTGAATATAATACATTTATTGATAATGAAAATTAGAATAATCATCTATCAGATACGTCTGTGCATTGGTTTTACGTAAAAAAAAGAAGCTTGATGATTCCAAGCGTTTAAGACTATTTGATTTGATCCATGATATGATAATTCAATATTGGTGATTAATTTATCATTAAGAACTTATGATTAGAATTTTATCCTATCCATTCTTTAATCATTTTATAATTCTCCAATGATCAATGAAATTAATGGATCACAATTTATACACATGTCGATATTCTACTAATCATTTAAAAGAGTTCTAAAAAAAAAAACGAAAATTCACAATCATTTGATAATACCTCTTGTTTAACAGTTTTCAGTGCCCATTTTGCTGTTTCTGATTTTATTATTTCAACAAATCTAAAAATGAAATAAAACTTGAATATAGTTTTGCATATATGTATTTTAAATATAATTACAATTTCTTCTAATATTAAAAGCTAAAGAAGAAAAAAATCTTATCAAAAAAATTCCAAAGGAAAAAAATAATAAAAATAAAATTTGAAAATGATAAAATAAATTAATTTCTTATCAAAAATTTGAAAAGAAGAGAAAAATTTTTTATAAAAATTTTATAAAGAAATGTACATTTCAAAAAGGTGCATTAATTCATTGTGTTCTATCAGTGGCTTATCATTGATCAGTGATATTGCATCAATTTCTAGAAATGCCATACCAAGCATATGTTCACCGCTGCAACAATTTCCTATAATTTTATCGCAACTATTAACTAAAATTGTATAATCATTCTTAATTTCGAATTCTTCATTTAAAATATTAAAATTTCTAATTATCTTCACTTCATTAATTCCTAAACGATTACTTTAGGTTATTAAACATAAAAAAGTTAGTAATGAATCATTCATACTATTAGTAAAAAATAAAAATAAAATATTACAACATAAAACAAAAAAAAATATTACAACAAAAGTATTACAAATTTCTTCCTCCAAATTTCAAATAGAACAAAAAATTATGATAAGCATTGAATTAAAGAAAGTAATAATAATATGTAAAAGTAATGATAAAGTATTATCAGTACTATGTAACGAATAATTTTAACATGGAAAACTTACGGATATTGTCTAATCCAACTTAAAAGTTGTATCAGTTCACGTTTGTTTAATTCACCCTTTGCTAATTCGGAAATCTATAAATTGATCAATTAATTGTTAATTAAAAAATAGATTAAAATAAACATTAAAAATTAAAGATCAATGAAGACTAAAAGTTTTCTCAAATAATTATCATTTGGTTGTAGAAATTGGTTAAAATATATGTCAAATATTCAATTCATACGAATTTAATAAAAGAAATGATCATTTGTGGTTGTGGTTAAAAGCTGTATCAGTTCACGTTTGTTTAATTCACCCTTTGCTAATTCGGAAATCTATAAATTGATCAATTAATTGTTAATTAAAAAATAGATTAAAATAAAATTAAACGTGAACTGATACAACTTTTAACCACAACATCATTGCACTGTAATCGTTATCGTTATCAAAAGGTTTCCGTGATAAGAATTATTTTCCTTCAAGGAGAAAATCCTACTTAAGTGTAAGTTATCAGCTTACATTGATTATATCCTCTTTTTTCTTCCAAGGTAAACTTGCTAATTTCCATACGCAATCGATCAAAGTAACGTAGGGGAAAATTGGTAATATTAGCCTAGAAGCCCAGTTGGCATCTAATGGATGGATTAGATCTTCAGATGCAGATGCAACAATAAGTTATTTAATCGCAACGATGACGATATATACTTTGAGAGTTGGATAATAGCAGCTCTCAGAATTGCTGGCATCAAATTCCGCGGACTTGCTGATACTAGATTGCCCTCTCATAGATAATCCGTGAACGGATTTAAATTGTACCCATTCCGATAATCGGCTTTGTTATTTCTCATCACTATCGCCTCATTTTAAGAATGGGTAATTTAAGTGATAGTCGTTTCTGAAGGCTACCTCTCCGGTACCAAGCCTTTATTCTCCGTTATCCTGATTACAACTACGGTAGGCACATAAATTACCAATTAAAAATTGATAAATTTAGACACTTGAAGCATACACGTGTAAAATAACACGAACGTAATGTTAGATAACAAAAAAAGAAAATTCAAAATAATTAGAATCAATGAAAGTAGCACAAATTTAAGTAAAATTTCAATAAAAAATTAAAAATAAAAATAATTAAAAGGAAATTTTTGAATCGAAAAATACCTTATCAGCAATTCCATTATGATAAAATAAAATAAAATTATTGTAAAGTTGATGTTCTTTCGGGAAAATACGCAAGAAATGCTTTGCTGCATATAAATCTTCCACTATATATAAACGACATATTTCCAAATTTCTGCAAATTTTTTTTTTCTCGAAAGAAAATTTGAACCGATCGATGAATCATTTCAAGTTATTTATTTAATTTTTGGTCCTGGATATTTATGGCACATAAATCCTATTACAACCATTTTTAGCAATAATTTAGCGGAATGTAAGAAATGAAATTATTAATTGTTGCTATTAGAAAATAAATTCATTGAAGGATTAATGCCTTAATCGAATTTAATTTTTAAATTTTTAATTTTTCTCTTACACTTATTTATTCCAATTTTCGAGAAGTGTTTTTTTTTTTTTTGTAGTTTTAATTTTAGTAAGATTGCAGTTGAATATATGGGATATCATGAGGAAATGATAGTAGAACAAAGGACAGTTGTAAAGATATTAACAAAAAGATAATTATAAATTCGAAAAAAAATAATCTAGAAATTTCGAGCAAAAGATTTGCCGAAATTAAATCATCGATATTACACTAAAAATGATTCATTCATACCTTGTTACCCAATTTTGATTTAATTTTCGATCTTCAATTTGAAATGCTTCCACACGTTGTTGCACACGTTCTTCAATTATTTTAAAAAGCATTTCACGCCAGCAATGTGGACGATTTGTAATTTTGAATTGATTATTCTCGTATAATTTATCAATTCTATAAAGATCATCTATGAAAATGTGAAAAAAAAGTGACAAGAAAACTTTTAAATTTTAATTTAAATTGGAAGGTAAAAAAGGAATTCGAATAAAAACTAATTAAATTTGAATGTTTACTTTTCATCAATTTCAATCGCTCGAAGAATCACTTCAAGTTGCTTTTTCGGTTCTGGATTTTGACCCCGCATAATATCAATACCTCGAATACAGTAATACTTTGCTTCATTAATAAATTTGGCATAAATTTGTTCAATTGGTTCATAATACGGTATGAGTAACTGTAGAAATACAAATTTCATATTATTTACTTTAACTTTGTATATAAAACAATTAAATATAAGCAAATACAGAAAAGGAACAAAAAAAGAAAAAACAGGAAAAAATGCGAGGGAGAGGAGAAAGGAGGGAGAGAGGGAGAGGGGAGAGAGAGAGGGACAGAAGGAGAGAGAGAGAGAAAGTGCGTAATAAAATACTTCATATTGGTTATAAAGAGAGAAATTTCAAATCATTTTACCTAATATTTTTGATCATTTTTAAGTAATCCTTAAAAGTATATGGAATACTTTAAAAGTAAATATAAATTCTACTTTTTCAATAGCTAGTATTAATAAAAATACGAGGATATGAGAGAATTTGATAGGTTATTTAATGAATTATCTTAAATTCAATTCATTTAAATGATCCAGTTGACCTTATTGATTGTATTAAATTCGTTGTGAGATTCAGCAAATGCAAGCAAATGATATCGTATACTTTCTGCTTTCACTAAACTGAAATATGATTATAATTAATTGATTAATTTTATTTTAGACGAAGTCTTAGAAACTAACCTAAAACTTATCGAACTTTGAAATTTATCAATTGAGCACATTTATTGTGCATACAAATGAGATTAATCTAATTGTTAGAAATGAAATTACGTGAATATTACGTGTTATTATATTAACAAAGTTAAATTATTAGACAAAAATATTTGTCAACGTATATTTTTTGACTTTTTTTTGATCATTAATTTAATCTTATTCACACAACACTTTTTATCTTTTATGTAATATTAAATATAATACATTTCTAGCCCTTTCAATTATATTCACGTTTACTTACGTCTATTACGTTGATATGGTATGAAATGTAAACGTAAACGTGAATAATGTAAATATTCATCCAAATATTTTTTTCAATTTAATAAACAAACTTTTCAATAGCAGCAAAAAGATTGCTATTGGTAATATAGTCATTGCTTTGTTTGAATATATCTTCAGTCTCCAGAAATTTTTTAAAAATTTTACAAAATTCAACTTCACATAGTAAAGTTTGTTGAAAATATTTTCTCATAGCCAATAATTCCTCATAATAAGCCGTATCATTTTCAATTCTGAAAATGAATTATATGAATTTCATCCAAAAATCTTTTTTTTTGAATCTTTGAAGTTAAACTTTTTTATTTTCAGAATAATTGATGAACTTTTTACTTCTAGCTATTCTTATGTTATCACAACAAAACATTAATTTATGCGAATGAAAAAATTCCATTTAAAAAAAGTTTAAAGTTTTCAAGAAGATAAAAATAAAAACCTGAAGAAGTCATTTGATGTTTAGTTAATTTTTAACTTAATTATAATAAATAGTCACCTTAATTCCTTCATATCATCACCACTATCATTATCACCAGTATTCATTAAACTCGTCAACATTTGTTGGGCAAATGGTTTGTGTGTACCGATCTCCACCTGTAAAATTAGTAGATTGCAATTAAGATCAATTAATAAATAAATTAGGAGTTTTAAAATTTAGAATATGTAATATATGAATAATCAAGGTAGCATATTACCGGATTAGCGAGCATACTTGTACAAAGACTTTTCCAATTTCGTGGACGATTTAAGCAACCTCTTTGATCTTTATCTTTGCGTATTTGGTTATCAGCATCTAATCTGGAAAAATGAATGAAGAAGATATGTATATATGTAGGAAATTTTCATGTTATTTCAAAAAATCAAGGCAAAATTTTCATTGAATTGTAAAAATTTCGCACTTTTTTTCAAAAAAAATCATAAAAATTTATTTTGAAAATTCAGCACTGAAACTCTCGCAAATTTTATTGAAAATTAAAAGTTTTGCTTCGAAAATTTGAATTAATTTCAGATTTAATCATAGTTTTAAATAAGTCATTTGAATGAATGAAAAATGCACCTGTAATTAAAAAGTAAACAATTTTGCTAAAGATTTCAAAAATTATGTCACTTTGGTTTCCTTCAACATTTTAACCGTCCGAACTTAATGTTATCATTATTTTATCTTAAACATTTAATTTTTTATTTATTTACTAAATTTTTGATCAAATCCTTGAAATTATCAAACTCTGTGATTTTTCAAGCAAGCAAAAAAAGTCGCAATTTCATGATTTTCCTAAATTTAAATTTATAAATTATTATTTTTTGATATTTTCAAAACATAAATTTCTTTTTGCTTTATGCTAATGTCAAAATGCAAATTTTAATTCATTCAAAAGAGATTGTTGTACTAAAATTTTCAATTTTTTCCACTTTCCAATCAAATAAAAATTTAAATATTTTCAAATGAACGACAAAAAGTGATCTCAACTCTCGGGAAATAAATGCTTGAACCAATCAATAATGATCAACTTACTGTGTATCATACTCGACAATTTTTACAATTTGTTGTATTATATCATCATTGATATAATCATCATTATCATTATCATTATTATCAGTACCACTGGCGGAATTACTGGTAGCATTGATAAGTGTCAAACGAATTACATCACGAATTTGTTCAGCCATCAATTCAACATCATTAAAATGTTTCCTGATAAACTGCAAAATTTTCTCTTTTTTTTCTAATAAATACATTTTCATTTTGCAAAATATCTCAAAATTTTCGGTGAAATTGATTTTCTAAATGTGAAATTTTTCAATAGCACCTTTTAATTTTGCTGGTTCTATGCAATATGCAAAAATTCGATAATGCATAAAATTATTTTTTACAAAAGAGAATTGAATAATTGAAACATATTAAGTTGTATTCGAAGTTTTCCCACAAATTATTTCAAAATTAAATGTTTCGGGAATTCGGTAAAACATCCAAATTTAACTTGAAGGAAAAAAGATTTCAAAAACTTGGATATTGCTGAAATAAAACTTTCTCAAAATAAAAATAAAACTTACTTCTTGTTCATCATCTTTGTTATCCGTAAGATTCAGCAAATCATTGCGACATTTTTCATATTTGATGAAACTAAAAACAGAATGATAATAATTAGGATATTTTGCAAATAGAAATGATTAATTGAAAATAAACAAAGACGAAGAAATAACTCAAAATGATTGGGAAAATGGTAATTAAGTTATGGATTGAAAAATTAATTTTAATTATGTAAAAAAATAAAGTCACTGATCACTAATCAAATCAGTAATTTCCATGAAATATCAGTAAAATTTTGGAAATAACACAAAATCTAAAACAGGAATATTGTCATTGCATTCTTTAACATGCATAAGAAAATGCTTTTAAAGAACGGAAATTAAAAATATTTTCGTGCGGTATATTTTAGTTAAATATTAAATCGATAAACAAAGGAAAAATAGGAAATGGAGAAATGGAAATTGTAAGGAGGAAAATTAAAATATATTCTTATCGGAATTAAGCATTCAGTAATTTTTACAATTGCATAAAAAATATTTGGATAAAGAAAGAAAAGCAAAAAGAAGAAATGGCAAATACTATTTTTAAAACTTTTTTTTTGTTTCCATAAATTTTTTCAACCGGAACTTACTTCAATGGAATTTGCTTCAATGGAATTCAATTTTTAATTGTTTAATTTTATAAAAAGTTTAAATGTTTCCCATCAAAATTAAGCATTCAATAAATTGAGTAAAAGAAAATTTTCAATTTTTTCAAAAAAATCTTTCAAAAAAAAATTTTTTCAATTGGGTAAAAAATATTTGAGTGAGAAAAAAGTTAAAAAAAGGAATGACAAATGTTAATTAATTTTTTTGTTTGTGTAAACAAAAATTTTGTTTAATTCAATTGGGAACTTACTTTTTATATGCTTTAAATAGTTTCCCATTAAGAATACATGATTTGACATCGGTGACAATATTTGCAGAATCTAAGAGAAGATGTAAACAGAGCCCTAATTTACCCTTCATCCTCATAAATTCATTTAATGATGGTAACAATTCTGCTATCGTTTCCTTATCAATCATCATTTTTCGAATTCTAAAATATCGTATTAAATTCTTTCTTTTGCAAATTTTTCCATTGAAGTTGAAGAAACAAGGAAAATTAATTTCAAGTTTATTATTATTATTATTATTGCTACTATTATTATTATTATTATTATTATTATTATTATTATTATTATTATTATTATTATTATTATTATTATTATTATTATTATTATTATTATTATTATTATTATTATTATTATTATTATTATTATTATTATTATTATTATTA